TACCAAGGTTATATCGTCCTGTTGGGTAGATCTTTTCAATATTATGTAGTGGCCTTTTTGGTCTCTAGTTATGGTCTTTATTTTGAAATTTAATTGATCAGATATGAGTATTGCTACCCCAGCTGTTTTATTTCCTTTCTGTTTGCTTGAAAGACTTTTTTCCATTCCTTCACTTTCAACCTATGTGAGTCTTTTGTTGTGAGGTGGGTCTCTTGTAAACAACATATATGTGAGTCATGCTTTCTTATTCAGTCACCTGCTCTGTGTCTTTTTATCAGAGCATTCAAACCATTCACATTTAAGGTGATAATTGATATGTATTTATTTACTGCCATTTTTGTTTAGTGTGGTTCTATTTTTCTTCCTATTTCTCCTGCTAATGACAGCAGTCCTGTTAATATTTCTTGCAGTGCTGGTTTGGTGTTAATATATTCCTTTAGCCTTTTGTGCGTGTGTGTGTGTGTGTGTGTGTGTGTGTGTGTGTGTTTGTGTAAAGCTCTTTATTTGACCTTCTATTTTGAATTAGAGCCTTGCCGGCTAGAGTAGTCTTGGATTCAGATTCTTGTTTTTTATGACCTTCATTACTTCCTGCCACTCCCTTCTGGCCTGTAGTGTTTCTGTTGAGAAGTCAGCTGAGAGCCTTATGGGGTTTCCTTTGTAAGTAACCTGTTGCTTATCTCTTGTTGCTTTAGGATTCTGTCTTTGTCCTTGATTTTTGGCATTTTAATTACTATGTGTCTTGGTGTTGGCCTGTTTGGGTTCTTATTTGGGGCTCTCTGTGCTTTTTGAACTTTAATGCCTTCTTCCTTCACCAAATTAGGAAAGTTTTCTGTCATTATTTCTTCAAATATACTCTCTAACCCTTGCCCATTTTTTTCCTCTTCGGGGACTCCTATGATGTGAATGTTATTACGTTTCCAGTTGTCTCACAGTTCTCTTAAGCTATCTTTCTGTTTTTTAATTGTTCTTTCCTTTTGGTTTTTTGATTGGTTGATTTGTTGTATCCTATGTTCTAATTCACTGATCTGTTCCTCAGCTTCCTGTATGCTCCTGGTTAGTCCTTCCAATTTGTTCTCAATTTCTGCATGTCATTCTTCATTTTCACTTCGTTGGTTTTCAATATTTCTATATCTTTACTCATGGTGCTGATGTCCTTACTCATGCTGTTGAGCTTCCTCAAGATCATGGCTCTGAACTCTACCTCTGATAATTTGCTTAACTGCATTTCATTTATCTCATCTTTAATAGAGTACTCTTGTTCTTTCAGTTGGGGTCTGTTTCTTTGTTTCACCATTTTGGCTATCTCAGTGGGTTTTGGAGCCTGCCAAATTTTCCCTGTGGGTGTTCGTGTACTGCTGTTTGTGGCTTCCTTTCCTGGGTTTGGATGAGCCTGGGTGGGCCCATGTTAAACACCAATGTCAAGTCTTACTTTCCTGGGTAGATTTTCAAGCCCAGGAAAGGTTCAGTTATCCTCTAGCTTTTTGCCTGGAGGCTTGTAGTCTCAGTTACTCAGGGCCTTGGAATGTAGCCCTGGTGTTCTGCATGAGGATTTCCAGAAAGTGGGATAGAGGCTGGTTGTTAATGATCCTCAATTTGCATTTCTTTGCCTCACCTGGAAAAGGTTGAATCTCCAAGGGGGGAGGGGCTGCTGCTTTTCCCCACAGCTTCGGAAAGGAGCACACTGGCCACCATTCTTTGTGGTCACAACTCAGCAAAAACTCTGAGTGCCCTCCAAATCCCGGGTGTCCCCACAGAGTTCCAGCCCAGTCTCCCCTTCCTCTGCTGGAGCCTCATTTGAGTGGTTGTGGCTATTTCAGCGGTCTGTCTCAGCTCTCTGTGCTGTGGAGCAGGCTTGGTCTTTATTCCCCAACGGTGCTGCTCACAGCTAAGACTGCTGCTGTCCAAGGCTCCCAGCCCGCCACTCTCTCGTGCCTCTGCAGATCCCACCAGTGTGCTTGGTTATATGGTCCTGTCCTGCTGCTTTTCTGTGTTTTTTTTTTTTTCCAAAGATTTGTCTTTTTTTGTTGTTGTAATTCTTGTTTGGTCCTGGGATATTGTCAGTGTAGCTTCCTTTCACTCCGTGGCCATTTTCACATCCTCTACACCTATCTTGTGCCAACTGGGTCGCACAGGCCTCTCTGGTGCCCCCGCACCCTGAAGTCCCATGGGTAACTGGATCACACAGTCCTTGCTGGGTCGCACAGGCCTCTCTGGTGCCCCCGCACCCTGCAGCCCCATGGGTAACTGGATCGCACAGTCCTTGCTGGGTCGCACAGGCCTCTCTGGTGCCCCCGCACCCTGCAGTCCCATGGGTAACTGGATCGCACAGTCCTTGCTGGGTCGCACAGGCCTCTCTGGTGCCCCCGCACCCTGCAGCCCCATGGGTAACTGGATCGCACAGTCCTTGCTGGGTTGCACAGGCCTCTCTGGTGCCTCTGCACCCTGCAGGTCCTGCGGGTGGGCAGCTGGATTTCACCAGTCCCTTTAGGGCTCTGGCTTCCCACTGCTCTTGTGGGCTGCTGGGTCGCACTGGCCTCTGTGGAGCCCCTGGTCCCGTCGCTGGCGGCTGGGGAGTGCTGCTGCCCTGAAGGGCTTGACTCCTGCTCAGCCTTTGCTGTAGTTTTTGGGGATGGGTCTCAGCTACTGGTCTGTGCTTCTGTTGCCTGGGGATGGATGTCTCTGTTAGCTGTATTTTTGTCACATATGGCCTTTATTATGTTAAGGTTTGTTCCCTCTATTCCAAATTTTTGGAGAGCTTTTAATCCCCAGTAGATGCTGGACTTTGTCAAATGCTTTTTCTGAATCTTTTGATATGATCACATACATTTTTATCCATTTTGTTTGTGGTGCATCACATTGTGGATAGTGAACCAATGTTGCATTCCAGGAATAAATCCCACTTGATCATGGTGTATGATCTTTTCCATGCATTGCTGAATCCAGCTTTCTTATATTTGTTGAGGATTTTTGAATCTATGTTTATCAGGGATATTGGCTTAGAATTTTTTTTTGTAATGTCTTTGGTTTTGCAATCAATGTAATGCTAGCCTCATAAAATGAGATTGGGAGCCTTCTATCTTAGTGAAGTTTTGGAATTCTTTGAGAAAGATAGGTGTTAATTCTTCTTTGAATGTTTGATAAAATCTACCTGTGAAGCCATATGGTCCAGACTTTTGTTTGTTGGGAGTTTTTTTATTACTATTTTTATTCATTAGTAGTTATTGGACTTTCCAGATATTCTGTTTCTTCTTGATTCAGTCTTGGATGATTATAGGTTGCTAAGAATTTATTCATTCCTTCCAGATTGTCCAAAGTGTTGGCCTGTAATTGTTTGTATTATATTCTAATAATCCTTTGTGTTTCTGTGGTGTCTGCTGCCACTTCTCTTTTATTTTTGATTTTATTCATTTGGGTCTTCTCTCTTTTTTCCTTGCTGTTTGTTTGTTTATTTATTTATTTATAAATTTTTTTATCCTCAACAGAGGACATTTTTTGCCTTTATCTTCAGATAGAGTGGGAGGGAGAGAGGGGGGAAGAGAGAGAGAAACATCGACGTGAGAGAGACACATCGAGTGGTTGCCACCCACATGACCCCAACTGAAGCTGGGGACAAACTGCAACTGAGGTACATGCCCTTAGTGGGAACTGAACCTGGGACTCTCTGGTCCACGTGCTGACACTCTTACCACTGAGGCAAAATGGCCAGGGCTTGGTGAGTCTGTTCAAAGTTTTATCAATTTTGTTTATCTTTTCAGAGAACCAGCTCTTGGTTTCATTGATGTTTTAGTTTTTAAAACTCTTATTTTGTTTATTTCTGCTCTGACCATTATTATTTTCTTCCTTCTACTGACATTGGGCTTTGTTTTTTTGTCCTTATCCTAATTCCTTTAGGTGTATGGTTAGATTGTTTATTTGAGATTTTTCTTGTTTCTTGAGGTAGGCCTGTATTGCTATGAAATTCCCTCTTAGACATGCTTTCACTGTGTCCCATAGATTTGGGATCATTGTGTTTTCACTTTCATTTGTCTTAAGGTATCTTTTGATTTATTCCTTGATCTTGCTGTCAACCCATTCATTGTTTAGTAGCATGTTATTTAGCCTCTATGTGTTGGTGTGTTTTTCAGTTTTCTTCTTGCAATTGCTTTTAGTTTCATACCATTGTGGTTGGAGAAGATGCTTGATATGATTTAAATCTTCTTAAATTTATTCAGACTCTTTTTCTGTCTTATCATATGGCTGTTTTTCTAATAAATTTTTCCATGTTTGATTGAAAAGAATGTATACTTTGCTGCTCCAAAAATATCAAGTAAAGCCATCTGGTCTAATCTGCCATTTAAGGCTGCTGTTTCCTCGTTGATTTTCTGTCTGGATGATCTATCTATTGATGTCAAGGAAGTGTTAAAGTCCCCTAGAATTACTGCATTCCTGTCAATCTGTCCTTTTATGTCCAATATTTGCTTTATAAATTTAGGAGCTCCCACAGTGCCACCCCCTCTTCTTTCAGAAATGGAGAGTCTTGAGTCATAGAGGGGGAGTGAATTTTCCCAAGTGACACAGCACCAGACTCCTGTTTGTGAACTTCTCTGCCTGAGATACTGGGGTGGAGAGGTACAGACATGTGGAAGCCACGATCTTAAGCCAGGCACATTGCTACCCTCTGAGACCTTTAGTTCTTTGATCTTCAGAGTAGGTGTAGCATGTGCTATTGAGGGAGATAAGTCTCTGATGTGCCCAGCCCTTGGCAGTTCCACTCAAGGATGTTTGTTGCCTAGCAGATGCTGCGGTGGCCACTCTTGTTTCCCCTTGCCCCACCCTACAGGGCTTGCTCAGCTGTGCTCTGCTACTCAGTCCGTGGCAGCATCTAGTTAAGGCAGTGTCTGGGCAGTCCTGTGATTTTTGGCCAGGTCACTTGACTCTTGGCCTTGATTTTCCCATCAGTGAGGTGGAGAAGGGCCTCCTTGGTAGTGGCATTTGGGATACCACCAGTGTCTCTATCATAGGCGTGGTGTGGGGTTTCTCTACAGTGTGTGGGAGGCCCAAGGTGATGGGGAAGATCTATGGTGGCCAGGACGTGGTGGCTGGCCAATGGCCATGGCAGGCCAGCCTGATGTACCAAAAATCACACATCTGTGGAGCTGCCCTCATCGACTCCTTCTGGCTGGTTTCCACTGCCCACTGTTTTATCAAGTGAGTCCTCCTTCCTGGGGCTCCAGAAGATGGGCTGGTAGGGGAGGAGGATTCAGGGGAAGAAGAAAAAAGGGTGACAAGTGTCCCATGCCAACTCCTCTAGTCTTTGCTCTGGGGCAGCCTGTGGCCTTCAACACGCGTCATTCCTGCCATTGACCTGCATCCCTCAACCTGGAGTGGCTTCCCACTGACCTGCCCAGATCCTCCTCATCCTTCATCCTCAGCCCCTTTGCTGTCCCCAGGAGACTGGCAGTGTCCATCCAAGCTGCCATACACTGCAGACTGGCTCTTTGCTGCCCCAGACCATGGCTCGACCTCACTGCTCTCATATAAAGATGCATGCCTGGGAGAAGCTGTGGTGCCAGGCTGTGTGGGTGGGAGGTGGGGCTCTCTGACCTTAGAGAGTGATGTGGCCACTCAGGAGTCTTAACTCCTCTGGCCCTTCTGGGCCTGGCTGAGTGCTCAGCCTCTGAGCAGACAAGGTAGGGGCCCAAGAAGGCAGGGGCATCCCAGCCTAGGTCAGGGAGTGGAGCTCATGTACCAACTGGCTTTGAGAGCTGAGTCCTACTGGCACCTTCTCTGTGCCGCTTTCCACATGAGCCCCTCTGTGATATAGGGGGTCGCAAGACCCTACCTCACTGTGCTTCCATTCTGTCAGGAAAGAGCCCAACATGGGGTGAGACGGGCTGACCCCACGGGAGCAGGAGGGAGGTCAGGAGAGGGCTGTGCTCCAGCGGGTGTGGAGCAGGAGGGCCATGCCCAGGAAGAAGGGCTTGGGGCATGGGGAGCACAGGGAGGGCTTTCCAAGAGGATGAGCCACGTGAGCAAAGTCAGGAGGGTGGGAAGTTTTATCACACGTGTTCAGGGAACATGCTGAGGTTTTGTTTCCTGTACTCATTTGTTCATTTAACACATCTTTTGTGAGTGCTTACAACCAAGTGAACAAGCGGCCCTTGGGCAGACAGGTGTTTAAAGAAAGAAGGGGCAGGAACAGTGTTTGAGCCAGGAGATGGGTCATGGGAGTCTTGGGAAGGGTCAGGTTACAGCTAGGATTGATCCAGAACTCCTCTGTACAGTCAACAGGCCCTGATGTGATGGGCTCACCAAGGACACTTCCAGCACTAAGAATCTCCGTTCCTTCTATTCTACAGTGTTATGGAGAAGCTAATTGTCCTGTGGTTGTGAGTAGAGCATCAGTCAGCTTCAGGAAAGAAGGGATCCTGACAGCTAGAAAGGAAAGACAAAAGCTGCCTGCATCATGTGGGGTGGAGGGGTCCACAGGAGTGTGGGCAGTTAGACAGGGATGTAGAGAGACAGAGCTGACCACCACACTCAGAGATGATGGTGACAGTGGGCCTTTCCCCCCTCCAGTAGATCCCATGCCCCAGAGAACTACGAGATTCTGTTGGGAAGCACCCAGCTGTACCAACACACCCAGCATGCCCAGATGATGTCTGTGAACAGGATTATCATGCACCCAGACTTTGAGAAGTTCCACCCCTTCGGGAATGATATAGTCATGTTGCAGTTGCACCTGCCTGTGAACTTCACCTCCTACATCAGTCCTGCCTGTCTCCCAACCCCTGGAATGCAGCTGCCCATCTACTCGTCCTGCTGGATAACCGGCTGGGGAATGCTCAACGAGGACAGTGAGGGGGTGTGGGAGAGGCTGGCAGATGACAGCAGGGAGGGGAAGAGGGGGTATAGAAGTGGGGAGGAGAGAGGCAGGAAGAAGGGAAGAATAGCTCAGACTGACGGGTCCCCATGCAAAGAGGCCACTTGTCCTTGACCTTCTATGTCTCATTTCCAGAGGAGCAGACCATCGTACTTCTAGTTCTGAAAAGTGTGTGATTCTAAAGCATCAGAGTTCCCTGAGTCTGAGCCTCTGAATGTCTTGGTATCTTTGAGATTTGGAATGAAGAATCTAGGTTCTTAAAGTCTTCATGGTACTTGATTCCAAGGTTTTAATCAGCCATGGATCTGAGATGACTTGATCAAACTCAAAAGTCATGCTGTGGGCCTGGCCCTTTCCAGGCCACTGCCTAACACTCTGATTTCCCATTGCCAGTGAAGGTTCTTGGGAAAAGTGGAAATAAAACTCATTTATGGCTCCTGACCTGTGAGCCTGTATGATCAAGTTAGAATAATCACAGCTGAAGAACCTTTCTGAACCTCACTTTGGTAAATTGTCTACTTCATAGGCTTATTAGGTGAGCTGGGTATAACACACAAAAATGTTTGTGTTATCTTTTAGATTGAAAGGAGAAATATAGGCAAAAGACTTATGGACAAGACTGTCTATTAAAGAAAGGATTGTTAATGATTTGGGGGAATGCTCATGCTGTAAAGTTAAAGGAAAAATAATATGTATTTGTAATTATTTGTAAGGTCATAATTTGGTATGGTCTTTCTCAAAGGTGCTGTAGGACTTTTGGACAGACCATGTCTTTGTTGGGTGGGAGATGCCAGCATCCTTGGCCCTTGCCTACTAAGTTTTAGGAACCCCACTAATGATAGGACAACCAGGGCCCCAACACATTCTTTCTCTCTTTCTCTGTCTCTTTCTCTCTGTCTATGTCTATCTCTATCTCAGTTGCTCTTCACACACACACACACACACACACACACACACACACACACTCAGAGAGAGAGAGAGAGAGAGAAAGAGAGAGAGAGAGAGAGAGAGAGAGAGAGAGAGAGGCGCTCATTCTTCTTTGAGGGAAGGGACCACATCTTACTTGTTTTAATATCACAATCTGTGCCATGGGGCCTGGCACCTGGTAGGGACTCACTGCTGCCATCCTGGTTCAATAGACCATCATTTCTTGCCTGGACCTCCAGACTGGTCTCCCAGCTCCCACCCCGTATTTTTTGTTTTAGTCTCCACACAGCTGTCTGTTTGCTTTCAAATATGAATTATGCACTTCCCCACTCAGCACCTTAAGTGCCTTGTCATTTGCACTTAGAAAACAGTCCACACCCTATACCTTAGCTATCAGCACCTGCGTGACGTTGGCTCCTGTCACTATACGCCTCATCTCGTACTGCATCCCTCGCACACGCCATCCCAGCCACCCAGCCTCCTTTCTGCTTTGAACATACCAAGGTCATTCTTGCCTCAGGGCCTTGACCTTAGCTATCTTCTTTGCCTCACTGGCTCTCCCCAATAATCTCTGCATGACTCATTTCTCCTTTACATTTACAATCAGCTCCTCTTCTGAGGACTTTGATCATGTGAGCTAAAATAGGCGATCCCTACTATCACATTCCTGTTTTATTTACTGCACATTACTTATTTAATATACAACAATTATATTTACATCATTTACCCTGTTTCCTCCAATGAAAATGTTCCCCTGTGTCATTAGTGTCTAAAAGACACCGAGCACAAAGGTAGATAAATAGAGTGCTGGATGAGAGGCTGGATGGGGAGGCTAGGTGGGGGGATGGGTGGGCAGCAGGGAAGATAGGCGTAGGGTGGGTGGGGATGGATGATGGGCAGACAGATTGAGATATATTGATAGATGGAGAGGAGGATGGGCAGGAGAATGATAGAAGGATGGATGAAATGGTGGGTGATGGGCAAATGGATGGAAGGATGGTGCATGAATGGGGGTATGAGGAAAGATGGGATTAGTAGGTGAGAGTGTGGGAAAGGTTAATGATAGACAAGTGGAGAATGGAGGGGGTGATTATGAAAGGGTAGGTGACTGCCGCATGGTTGCTAAGCCCTAGTGAATGGCATGTCGATGGGATGTGCCTTTTTCTTTGTGGAATAGGAGCAGTATGGTCTATTGTTATGAGAAAGGTGGAGGGGACAGGATGAGTTTGAAAACATTTGAGAAACAGGAGAGGAGCGGATTGGGGGTGAGTAGAAGACAAGCCACGTTGAAAGCTCAGCTGTGCTGAGAAAATGGCATGTGTAGGGGCAGGGGTGGGAGTAGGACAGGGGGTTCAGAGCAGCGCGGCCTTCAGCCAGGCTGCAGCGCACTTCACGGATCTCCTTGCCCTCACAGCGCCCCTGCCCCCACCCTTCCGCCTGCAGGAGGGCAAGGTGAGTCTCGTGGAGAACAAGCTCTGTAACATGTTATATGAGCAAAGACTCAGCAAAGACAAGAACTACTCTGTGTACGAGGAGATGCTGTGTGCCGGGAACTTCTTGACAGGAAAGGCCATCTGCCAAGTGAGTGAGGCCATTTCTGTTCTTCCCTTGCCTGAATTCAGGGCCTCAGTTTCCTCACAGGAGCCCGTGCTACCCCTACTCCTTTGTCAGACCCCCAGGACCTCCTGTGTCCTCCCTGTGTGTCTTTCTGGGGCTCTAACTCTCAGTAGTGTCCCCCACGCTAGTTCCTTCCTGTGCCCATCCCCCATGCTGGCATCTGCTGGAAGGACCCTCATACAGCATCTATTTTTGAGGCATATAATTGCCTAAAATATATATATATATATATATATATATATATATATATATATATATATATAATTGAGTATATAATTGCTAAATACATAGTTCAATGAACATCCATATACTGGCACACGTGACCAACTCCCTGGATGCCCTGCTCATGCTCTCTTCCTCTCGCTAACACCCCAGGGAACAACTTTCTTCACTTTTAACATCTTAGATTAGACTCCACGTTTTCCATAAGTGGAATTTATTCCTAGCGGTCCATCATTTATGTTCTAACATGACATCTGTGAGACCACACAGACATCTCCCATGGTTATAGCTGGTCCATTCTCACTGCTTTATAGGCGTCTGTCGTGTGAATGGAAATCTATGATCAGTTCTGCTCTTGATGGGTACTTTAGAAGTTTCCAAGCTTTTCATTTTATTTCATTTTCCATTGTTTTATATATTTTATATTTATTTCACAGAAGCTCATGAGTAGAATTGTTGGATTTAAAAGTGTGTCGAGGCTCAGCTTTGGCAGGTGTCCCCAAACATCTCCAGAGTGGTAGCCCCAGTTCCGCTCCCTCCAGCCCCGGATGAGCTTATATCCTCACCAGCACCTGCACACTCCATTTTGGTGGGTGTGTGAGGATATTTTACTGTGGCTTTCACTGGCATTTTTCTGATGGCTGATGAAGTATCTTTTCATATGTTTATTGTCATCGGATGTCTTCTGTAAAGATTCCCTTCAAGTCTTCCCCCTCATTTTTCTGTTGGATTGTCTTTTTCTTTTAGGAGCTCTTGGTACATTTGCATGTTCCGATGTGAGGTTACTGTTGGACATATGGATTGCGAATATCTGGTTTTGGTCTCTGTAATGCCCCACTTTATAGGTGGGCCAACAGGGCTGGAGAGGAAAGGAGACTAGCCCAAAGTAAGGCCGTGCTGCTCGACCCTGTGTGCTGAGCCAAGCCCGCACCTGCCTCCACAGCACCCCGGGCCCAGGCTTCTGAGCTCCTGCGCAGATGGTTCCATGGATGGAGGGGGTGTGAGGACTCTGGAGTCAGAGACACTGCCCTGCCATGTGTCTCTACTCTGTAACCCCAGGTCGCCTCCTCACCTTCTGAGCCAGTGTCCTACATAATGTGGGATCCTTCACGGGATTGTTGAAAGGCTAGTGTAGTGGGTTGAATAGTGTTTCCCAAATTCATGTCATTTGGAACCCGAGGATGCGACCTCATTTGGAAATAGGGTCTCCTCCATCATAATTAGTGAAGACTCGAGATGAGACCATTCTGCATTTAGAGCAGGCCCTGAATCCCGTGACTGGTGTTCGCAGAAGAGGGGAGGACACAGAGACCCTTGGCTTCAGACTTCTGGCCTCCAGAACTGTGAGGGGATACATTTCTGTTGCTCTTGTGAGCCACAATTTGGTGGTGACATGTGGCAGCCCCGGGAAAAGTGGACAGGAGGGATGAAGTGCACCTGACCCATGGGAAGGCCTCGGGGACAGCTGTTTTCATTACTTCCCAGTGAGCTGAGCCAGATGGTGGTGCGCCTGCCCTCCTGAGAGAAGGTGGACCCAGGTGTCTTGGTTCCCAGTCCATAGCTAATGGCATGGACCTGCTGGCTCTCTGCCCTCAGAATTAGCTGCACAGAATTAGCTGTGCATCCTCCTCACAGAATTAGCTGCACCCAGAGGTGGAGCAAAGGGCTCAGCCCTGAAGTCCCCATATGGCTGTCACCCTAGACCTCCCTTCCAGTCTTGTCCTACACCTGCCTCCTCCTGCACAGGCCATGCCCATGGAGCTCTGGGCAGCATACCTTGTATGCCCGTCTCCACTCCTCCTCCAGTTTCTCCCCAGGCTGAGGACACAAATGAGCTGACTTCTGGAAGTTCCTCCCTCCTCCCTTAGCCAGTCCTTGAGATTCCATCTGGATTGACCTCTGCCTAATCTGGACCCCATCCTCCACCCTGGGGACCCCTTCTCTCCTCTAAACTGCCCCTCCCCCTGCATGGGCCACCTGGAGACAGTGCTGAGGAGAGTCAGGGCCACAGGGTGACTTTCCTCACCCATGAAATGGAATTGCTAGCAGCTTCCACATAGTAAGGTCTGATGCCCTGCAGTTGTAGGTGGTTAACTAGTGCTGGCTGTCATGTCCCTCCTGGTCTGCCTCCCTCTGTCTGAGTTGCACTCATTCATCTGGGTCTGTCTTATACTCATCTTCTCAAGCAAGGTGAATTACTGCCCTGCTCTGCTGGACACACACACACACACACACACACACACACACACACACACACACGTTGCTCTGTCTCTGTTCTAGTGCAGACCACAGCTCGCTTTGCATGGCATACGTGGGTACTGATGCCTTCTCTGCCTTCTGAGAGCTCCCAGGAGGAGGCTGGTGGAGGCTTTGACGTCTCTTCCAGATCGGCCCAGAATCCGCTGTCATTTGGCAACCACACAGCTCATCTTTGTGAATCGCTGAGGCCTGAAATGCACAGGGACCACTGCCCCACACAGGGACCAGGCCTTCCCCCGTCCTCAGACAGCGGGGTTAGGTCCACAGTGGGGAAGGCCCAGGGAGGGAGAGCTGCAGCCATGACAGTGCCGTCCCCTGGCCAAGAACACCCCGGGTATGAGTGTCCCCGAGCTGCTGTGACAAATCACCTCCAACAGGGCGAATGAAACAACAGGAATTTATCACCTTATGTTTCTGGAGGTCTGAGGCTAATATCAAGTTGTGGGCGGGCTGGTTCCTTCTGGAGGCTCTGGGGGAGAATGCTCCCTTGCTTTCCCTAGCTTCTAGAGGCTGCCCACATTCCTTGGCTCTTGGCTTCTTCCTCCTCCTCAAGAAGCACCACGCCAGCCTCTGCTTCTGTTGTCATATCCCCTTCTCTGACCCTGACCTCCTGCCTCCCTCTTTCCTCACGGGGACCTTGGGATGACATTGGTCCCACCCAGATGGTCAGGATGATCTTCCTCTTTCAAGACCCCCAGTTCAACCACACCTGCAGAGTGTTTTGCCACGTAAGGTAATGGAATCGCAGGCTGCAGGGATGAGGATGTGCATCGTTGGGGGCCATTCTCTGCTAGTCACAAGGTGAACCCTTCCCTCCTTCAAGCCACGCCTCCCAGCCCTCCTTGTCCGCTGGAGAGGTTGCTTCCTATGTCACCGCGCACTGGGGCAGTCACACTGGCACCTGCTCATCTTCTCAGCCCTGCACGCCACACTCTTCATCCTTGTCTCTGCAGAGCCTCGTGTCCAACGGTCCCCTCCCGAGCACTGGGCCCTCAGGCTCTCCTGCTCCGTCCTCTGTCTCTTTCTTCATGTCTGTGGTGTCAACTCTCCGCAGCAGTCTCCTCCTGCTACTGCCCAGTTTCCCTGCCTCTCTTCCTAAAAGACTCCTCTGACAGCACCGAGTCTCTTTCACCCACTCCACCCAAGCGCATCCCCACCAGCCTTGGTCTGGCCAGCAGGCTGTCCTGAGCCCTCCTCTCCCTCAGTGCATTGGGAGAACTCACTCCCATTTGCTGGGCCCCAAACTCGACAGAGGCTCTCTCTGCTCCTGGTGCCTCCCCACCCACCATGAAATGCTGGCCATCCCAGGGCTCCATGCTCAGCCGCTCCCTGCTCTCTGCACCTTCTGGCTGGCTGGTGAGGAAGGCTCAGATTCAGCAGATTCTATTGGTTCTTTCTTCAAATATTAGCCCAAATCTGACTGTTCCTGCTCACACCCTGGCCACTCCCCACCAATAATCTCTCATCTCTGTCCTGTGGCTGCATCCTGACTGGTCTTTTCTCTTTAACTCATGCTCAGCACGCTTTGTTCTCCACAGCACACCAGAGTGATCCCCCTAGACAGGTCAGGTCACCCCTACCCCTCCCTGGGCACAGCTCTCCACTGGGGCAAAACCCAAACCCCAGGCATAAGGCCCTGTGAGCCATGTCCTCTCTGCCGCTGTGGTTCCCCGCGGCCAGCCTCACAGCACTTTCTCCCATCCACCTGGCGAGTCCCCTTCCCCCTTCGCACTTACTGTTTCCTCTGCTCCTGCATCAGAAAGGTAGGTGGTTTCCTGTTTGGGGTCTCAGCTCAAAAAGGCCATATGCCGTCACCAGATGAGATACCCTCTCTGTCCCTGTTCCTGTCCCTTGCATGGCTTTTTCCCACATGTCACATCTGACCGTGGTCGGCTAACTGGCTTGTTTACAAAGCACAATGAGGGAGAGGCCCTGTCTTTTCACCCCTGTGCTCCCAAACCCAGAGGCCTCCGTGGATGTTCCCCGTGAAGGTTGGATGGGTGGGTGGAGGGGTGACCAAGCTTGGCTGTGGCCCCTGCTCCCTCACCTCCCAAGGATGAGAGCCTCCCTCTGGACAATGAAGTGAGGGGGCTTCCAACTAGGTGGTCCTTCCCTGATAGCATCTTAGGACTCTAGTAACCCCCAGCAGCGTTCTGGGGACCCCTGTCTGCTCCCCCAGCAATGCAGGCTATCTCCACCAGGCTTCAACCTGGGCATTTTCTAAAGAAGCTGAGAGCAAATCAAAGGCCTAAAAATGAATGAAAAAGGAAGAGGACGGCAGAAAAGTTGGCATTTCCTCACACCTCCTGTCTGAGCCAAACTGGTAATAAAAACAAAATAGGGGAACAATCACCATGAGTTACCCACCGAAGATCATCTGAAGAGGAGACTTTTAACTAAGGAGGGGCAGATGAGGCCACCTCAAGACTTGCAGGAAGGGCAGAGACACGAGAGGGGCTGGCCCCACTCCCAGGGGAGGCAGG